CAGTTTCTCCATCTGGTGCTAGCTTTGGATCAAGGCTTTCTTAATCAATTCATAGACTTCTAAGACTCATGTCTGTGACACAGAAAACCATGTGATGAAAAGCCTAGGTGGCCTGAGTCCAAGTCTTGGTTCTGTCCCTCACTGGCTGTGCAAACTCAGGCAACATAACCAACTTCTCTGTTTCTTAGTTTCTCTCTCTCCACCCCCCACCCCACCGTGTTTTCAAGACAGGGTTTCACTATGTAGCCCAGGCTGCTGGAACTCTTGATCTTCCTGTCCGAGCCACCTAGCACTGGGATTATAGATGTGTGCATCACATACCCAGCTTTCTCAGTTTATTTTTGGGATCAAACTGATGATTGTGGGCAGTGTTTCATAGGGCTTCTGTGAGAATTAAATAAGGAAAGCTCCGGTGGGGGAGACCAGGGCATAGATAGGCACTCCACAGATGGCTGCAGGAATGGCTGCATGCCCTGGCACAGGGGCAGCTAGGAAGGGTGACTGTCCACAGCCCTGTAAAGCCATCAACTTGATGGTTGCCATGTAGACCTCAGAGGGGATGGACAGGCGATGCTTGGCCATTCCCAGGTGGACCAAACCCAAGGAAATATAATACCCACAGGTTCTCTTCCAGATGTTTGTGTGTCTGTCCTCAGAGTGGTGCTTGCTGAGTTTACCTTTCTAGTATCATGGGGGCCCCTATCTTTTGGGATGGATCCAAACTGTGAATTCAGAGCCACCTAGAATGGGCTTCATGTCCCACCTTTGCAGCCCATTTTCTGAGGTACTCTGGCTGGACCTCCCCTGCCCCCATTGCCACCTCTTGTCCACAACTGCAGTGTGGATATCTGGGCAGCTTTGTGGCCAATCGGATGCACATGAGCACACTTTCCAAGAGCAAGAGGCTGTAAGGACTCAGGAGAGAATCTGATTGTGCCAGTTTTCTGTCACTGCTGCCACAAGTGACACAGACAGCAGCCTCAAAACAGTGCAAAGTTAAGCTGGGCACCTGTCGTACCAGCAATTTGGGAAGCTGAGGCAGGGGGACCACTTGAGTCTTGGAGTTCAAGACCAACCTGGTCATAGTGAGACCCTGTCTCAAAAAATATATATAAAGGTAAAAATAAAAACAACGCAAGTTGACTATTTCACAGTTATGGAAGTTAGAAATCAGACTCAGGTCTCACAGGGATAGAAGCAGGTGTCACAGGACCGGGTCCCCTCCTGGAGGCTCTGGGGACAGATCAGCTTCCAAACTCACAAGGCTTGACAAAAGCTGATTCCTCGCTCCTGGAGGCTCCTCACTCTCAAGGCTTGGACATGGACTCCCTCCTCCAACCAGAGCCAGCCGAGGGACCAGACCTCTTCCCCTCGAGGTCTCCCCAACATCTTCTCGGTCCATGTCCTCTTCTCACCTCCTCTGCTGAGTCTCTGCTTTCAGGGGCTCATGTGGTTGGACCGAGCCCTATCAGGTAATCACAGATAACCCCGATTCTAAATGTCTGAGACTTTCATCCTATTCGCAATGTCCTTTGTACCCTGCAGTGAACCTTTCATAGGTTCCGGGAATTAGGGCGTGCATGTTCCTGTTGAACCTGCAGGGCGAGGTTCTATGCTGAGCCTGGGGTGGGGCAAGGGCTCAGGGCAAATAGTTCAGACCCAGATCTGACGACTAGGAGACTGAGTCGCCAGGACCCCATTGGCACAATAGTCTATGTGGAGGGTGGGGACACATACAGGCCATGTGGCTAAAGCCTTGAACCCTCTAAGTTGGCCCTGTGCACTGGGAGTTGTAGCCCTAGAAGGCACAGGATTGTCCCCAGGCAAGAAAGGACAGGGCAGGGCAGGAACTGGGCATGGATCCAGGACTCCTGGGCAGGGGCTGGGCTTGCCCCACAGAGAACAGGACTGGCCGGGTGGAGCTTCCCAGAGAGCCTGGACGGGTGGGCCCTTGTCTGGCTCTGGTCTCAGTACACCATTCCAGCAAAATGGCTGGGGAGGGGGCTGTGTCCTGGGGCCAAACGCTTTGAGGAGTGAGGTGGGCAGTGTTAAGCCAGAGTTTAAAGCTCCCTGCTTCCCACCTCCTCTCAGCTCCACATTCTGACCTGCTGTGAAGGGAGGGCTGTCCTTCTCTTTTCCTGCAGTCCCTTTGCTCCATGGGTCCCCAAGTCCCAGAAAGCACTCCTGGGAGACCACAAAGAAGGAAACAGTACATACCTTTGGCTGGACTGTGCCTGTCCTTTGTCCCACTCACCCAGATTGGGATGATCTGCTTCTGAGCCAGCCCTTCAGAGTTATCCCCCAACATATGCACTCACACTCCTGAAGCCTTGTGCTGCCTCTGAGTCCCCACCAGCCTCCTTCCCAAGCTGAGTGTGTCAGCTGCCTACAGCGGAGCCTCTGCAGTGCCACTTCTGCCTCCCTCTCTTCCTGCCTGCCAGACACCAGCTGGGTCAAACCTGCTCACCACCACCCAGAGTCCTGATCTCATTTCTTCCTCCCTCCCTCCCTCCCTCCCTTCCTCCTTCCCTCCCTCTCTCCCTCCCTTCCTTCCTCTTTCTCCCTGTCTCCCACCCTCCTCCTTCCTTCCTTCCTCCCTTTCTTTCTTCCTCCCTTGACACAGGAGGGGTGGTCTCACTATATCACCCAGGCTGGCTTTGAACTCTTGGGCTCCAGCGATCTTCCTGCCTTGGCTTCCTGAGTGGCTGGAACTACAGGTGCACGGTGCTGGCCGATTGTGTGGTTCAGGGCACTTACTGGGTTGGTTGGGGATTCAGTTTGCTACAGAAGCATCCTGTGTCTCAGGCCAGTCCCAAAACTGGATTAAGCTGGGGAGGGGAGGGGACGGAGGAGTATCTTGGGGACATCGAGGGTCTACAGTGTACATTTTCCCAAAGCGGGAGCTTTTTATGACATTTATTGAGCACTTACTGTTTGCACGTACAGTGCTAAGTACTTCACGCATAGCTCAGTTAGTTCCCTAAACACTCCTGAGAAAGGCAACACGCCTGTTCCCATAGCCCCACGTGCTGAGGGAGGCTGTGACCCCTCGACCGTGCACCTCAGCTTACAAAATCTTAATTCTTCCTGGTGCAAAGAGGGAGGAATTCCCTCTTTACTTTCTTAGGAGTATTTATGGTAGAAAACTTACAAATTCTCTGCCCTGTTAAGGATGTATGTAGGTGCAGATATAGGCCACGGGTGGGACCAGGGGACCTCCCTCAAGGAGCCTCGTGCCAGTTTTACAACCTAGGCATGCTTTCCTCTGGGTCCTTGTCACCCAGCCTCCTCCCAGGGCAGAAGCCTATTTCAGTGCATGGTACCAAGTTTCAAAACGCCTGTCATAAAGATAGAGCTTCTATTTCCAGTGGATAAGACAATCAGCTGATACAGGTGGTCACTCTGATTGCCGCTATGTGACAAGTGGCTGTCTACTCATCTTGCTTTTAAGGACCAGTTATTGTTTGAGAAAATATATGTGATAGGTTATATGTGTCTGACTGAGTAAAAGGGGAAAACTTCTGCTTGCAATCTCTGGAGACATTTTTTTCCTTCTTTCTTTTCATTTGCAGTGCTGAGATCAAACTCAGGGCCTTGGGCACTCTAGGCAAGGCTTTGCCACCAAGTTGCAACCCCAGCCCTTGAATCTGCAATTTCTTCATCAGATTGTCTTTGATGCACACAGCAGCCTGGTTTAATGTTTATTCAGTAACAATTTTTTTCTATTCTACTTTTGTAGAGGTTGTCTGGATTGGCAGATTTTAACTTTAATTTTTCTCCCCACATCTTCAAATGTCTTTCTACAGCAGGTGATGAATGAACTTGGCACTTCCAATGGAAAACTATACAGCCATGACAAAGGAGAAGGTTCTCTTGTTTTCACTAAGGAAAAGCGAGAGCTGCACAATAGTTTGGTGCTTCTTCTGTACAGTGAGGTCTGAGAAAGACGACTCTATTTATTTGCATAATCTCTGGAAGGGTGTGTGTGTGTGTGTGTGTATGTGTGTGTGTTAAGAGGAACTGGGAAGACACCATTTTACATAATCTCATTTTTGAAACCTGACTCCTGTGACTTTTGAAAATCAGCCATTAGGGAGTGTGTGGTGAAGATGAAACAAGCCACTTCAGAAAAGAAGTTCCAGGTCCCAGCACTCGGGAGGCTGAGACAGGAGGATGGTGAGTTCCAGGGCAGCCTGAGCTAGACAGTGAGACTGTTTCGAATAGAAAAGAAGAGGGGGAAAAAAAGGAAGGAAAGAAGGAAGGAAGGAAGGAAGTCCAAGGAGCAGAGCTTCTCTGTGCACTTGAGTTCACTTCTGAGCTGGTCTGACTGAGTACCGATTAACTGACACATTTTCAGGGTTGCCAGGACCTCTCCTTTGAAGCTTGAGCAAAAAATGTTTTATTTAAAAATAAGAAAAACAAAATCAATCACGTTCCCCCCCACCCTCCCCCCTGGGCTGAGCACTGCTTCTGAGGGTCCTCATTGTGCAGTCCGCAGCCTGGTGGGGGTTCAGAGGCTGGGTGAGGTCCCAGCAGGGCCTCACCTCCAGGAAGGGGTGTGTGGGGTCCAGCTCAGGCCTCTGCCTTTAGTCATCTGTCTTGTAGACTCCTCTCTGCAGATATAGGCCACCGGTGGGGCCAAGAGACCTCTCAACCCCTCTGGCCACCTCTAGGTTGCAATGATTGCCACTCTTGTCATTACTGGGGCTGTCAGCTTGGGAAATTGCTACTGGCTGGGTGATTCTGCCTTTTATCCCCGTGTCAAATCTACGAGGTAAGGATTATTTATTATGGGCTCCCCTTTAACAGATTTAAAAAACAGAGGCACAGAGAAGCCAAGCAACTACCCCAAGGTCACACAGCTGTTTCCCCTCTAACATCTGTAGACCCGCCTCCAGCAGGATGCTGGATTCGGATCTCTCAAAAGTCCAAAGAAAGAAGGCTAGCATGTGATCACAGACACTGTGACACAGTGTGTGGCCCGGGCCACCCGTTCCGGCCTAGGCAGAGCAGTCCAGGCTGCAGTAGTCCGCGGAGGAGAAGAGATGCAGCACGTTGACCAGCGGGAACATGAGCAGCGCCCCGATCAGCGAGCCCAGCTGTACCGCCGCACCGCACCACACGAGGGCGCTGCGGCTCAGGTCGCGCAAGATCACGCCCAGCATCACCTTGATGTAGCTGAGGCATGCAGTGAAAAGCAACCAGGAGATCACCTGCGGTGGGGGGACAGGGACAGAGCTCGTGGGTGACCTCCCAGGGAGAGGGAAACCCATGGAATAGACTCTGAGGGCAAGGAGACCCCCTAAGAGGGTGAACTGCGAGTGCCACAGGGGCGCCATGAGCTATCATCCCTTCAAGGGCAAAGGAGGACCTTGTGACCCCCCGCCCCCCAGTAAGTCAGGGACATCGGAGAGAAGGCCACTGCTGCCACACACATGGCAACAAGAGGGTGGCATCTGGGGGACAGGCAGGACCCGTCACCTTACTTCTCTGAGCCCCCACTAGGAAGTGCCCCTCCCATACAAAGGGCTGGTCCCTAGGCCTCCAGCTCCTCCAAGATGTGAGGGGTGGGAGGGGGGATACTTACAATGAGGACTTCTCCACCCCAGTGTCCCTGCAGGAGGGGACAGGGGCTCATGACAGCCATTGCCATATTGTAAGCCCCAAAGCTGGTGCCGAGCAATGTGAGGCCCCCCAGGAGTGGCAGCGACCTAGGAAGAGTGGAGGAATGAGTGGAGAAGGGGAGAGGCTGGACCTCCTGCACCCTTGGGGCACTGTGGAGTGGCTAGCACCTCCAAGATTAGCAGTTAAGACCCTTAGGGAAAATCCCAGGCTCCCCGCTGAAGTGGGACAGGGAGATGCCGGAGTGTTAAAGGCAGGGCTTGGCCTCCCATCGGGAGAAACACAGATGGGTGGCCAGATGGACCTGATTCAAACTCCAGTTCTACCACTGAAGCGGTGAGACTGGCCCCTGAGCCTCGGTTTCCTCATCCGTGAAGGGGGAGTGTTGCAGGCCATGGTGGCCAGAGTGTGTAGGGCTGGCTTCAGCCGTGGCCCCGCCTGGCCTGGTATGCGCTGTGCTATTTCCTCCCGGACACCCCACCTCTGCCGGGAAGCCAGGGCTTTGATCTCAGCCGGCCTTAAGGGTATGCTAGTGGCCTTGTAGGATCCTCCCTGTCTGAGCTATGGCCACAGGAGGTCTGCAGGCTTGGTGTGGCCTTCCAGACCCTGGGCTGACAACTGAGGACCTGCCTTCCTTGGAGGTCCTTGTCCCTGGGGTCCCTGTCTCTGGGCCACCAGGACCAGTTTTTACCCCTGGGTGTCAAAAGGGGGTGCCCCAATACCAGGGATTCCTTTTCCCCAAGATTCTTGGGTTCCATGGCTCTGAGATGCTCTACACTTAACATTTTGGGATCTCCCCGACTCTGCAGGTTTGTGACCTCTGTCTGGTCTGGCTTTTCACCAAATTCTCCATGGATCTGGAGGCCCCAGGAGGAAAGTCCTGCTTCCTGGCAGTAGCATTTTTCTGTCTAACTCTCCTGTTCTTGTCTACTCCTGAGGTGTTTGAGAGCAGGTCTAAGCAGCTAGCAAGGGGCTGTGGGATCTAAAATGTCAAGATCTGGAGGTGGATGTTTCTCCCACAGGGGTCCAAATGCTTGAGCTGCTCATTAAAAGCCAGTTTGCCTGGGATCCGTTTGCCCTGTGCAGTCATTTATTCTTCCAGAGGTGCAGCAGGGCTGAGCTGGCCAGGCTGGCACCAGGAAGCCAGGCTGGAAAAGGACCAGCATAGGCCCTTTCTCCAGCCTCAGGAGCTCCATTTGTCAACATGTGGTAGCCACAAGCTGAGGGCAGCATGGGTGGCACTCACATTGAACTGCTGAGTGCCAGGCACTGCTGGAGAGCTTTGCAAAATCACCTCATCTCCCGCTCCCAGCTACCTAAAGGAGGCAGAACTGTTGTCACCCCATCTTTCAGATACTATCCCCTAGGCACAGAAAGGCAAGGTGACCTGCCCGATGTCACACCACTGGGAAGTGGCACGGCTGGAAACCATATTCATTCTTCTCTCTCTCTCTCTCAGCGGTACTAGGATTTGAACTCAGGGCTTCACACTTGCTCTACCACTTGAGCCACACCCCCAGTACTTTTTTATTTCAGTTATTTTTCAGATAGGGTCTTACGGTTTTTGCCTGGGCCTGCATGAACTGTGATCCTCCTACCTATGCCTCTCATGTAGCTGAGATTACAGACATACCCTACCATGCCCAGTCATGGGAAACCATATTCTTAATGCACAGCCTGGCATGGGGAAGGGAGGAATCTGGGGTTTGGAATGAAGTGCTGCCCTTCCACTGGGGTTCCCCAGGGTCAGGTGGGCATACCTGGTAGGCAGGAAAATGGAGAGAAAGCAGGCAAGAGGGCTGGCCACAGAGCTGAGGGTGGCAGACAAGTGGTAGGCAACAGCCCCATAGGGCAGGCAGGAGTAGGTCTGCACGGATGGCAGCACCCCGTTGGTCAGCGCGTTGACAAAGGCAATCACAGTGTAGATGAAGGCCAGCTGCGTGGGGCGGAGTGGCGCTGCCTTCTCCTCTGGAGGCCCCCCGACTTTGCTGCTGTCTCCGGACCCCAGGACACCCACATCCTTCTCCTCTCGTGGCCGGATGGAGTGGAGGGTGACCTGGGACTGGAGGAGGTCCTCTATGGAGCCGTGCCGGCCGCTGGGCTGCCGCTGGAGGAGAAAGAAAGCCACAAGACAGCAGGCCATCATGAAGGACAGCAGCAGGAAGAAGACCATAGGCGAGAAGCGAGCGGGCAGGTAGCGGCTCTCCAGGTGGCTCATGCCGGGAAGGGATGACAGAGAAGCGCTGTCAGCTCCCTAGGGAGGGACAAAGCAGAGTTGGTCAGGAGCCATGATAACAGTGATCGACAATACGCATTATGAATTGCTATCAGTGAATAACTGATGAATGACAGATTCCACCCCCCGCAAAGTCTGGCCCTAAGGATTTCAGAGAAGCGCCATACTCTGAAAAATCTCATTTCACTGGTGTTCCTGATATCATTTGTCTTGGGGGGCCCAAAATCTGATTGTAAGAAACCAGAACAGGCCACTCCCAAATCCTTGGCGTTCATTGTTTTGGGCTGGTTATTTTGAGACACTGTAGAGAGAGGTGTAGCTCTGAAAAGATGTCCACTGTAGAGGAAATGGCCATCTAGAAAGGCGACTTTCATTGGGAGAGGTCCCTGTACCAGGAAGAGATCCATGACAACTGTCGTCTCTGGGGAGAGGTGATTGTTACCCCCATGTGCAGTGGGGAAACTAATCAGCCTCGCCTTGCTGCCCATAATTTGTCTCCCAGAGCCCCAGGCTTCCTCAGGATGCTATCAAAGCCCCCTTCTTTGTTTGTGGAGCTCTCTGGTCACATACACAATTAAAGTGGTCTTTCTGTGTTCACCTGCCTGAAACCACTTTAATTTGCAGCCCCACCAAAGAAATGACAAAGGTGAAGGAAGCCAGTTCCCCTTCCTCCACTTTTGATCAAGCCTTGTGCTCACGGCTCTGGGTCCCGATGTACCTGGGTGCTGAGGGTCTCCCTGGTGGTCGCAGGACTTGAGGTGATGTCTGGAATGTCTGTGACATTGACGCAGGTGGTGATACCTGAGCCCTGGATGAGAGCCACCAGCGCGGGCAGGAGGCCGCTGAATCCTTCGCCCACAAAAAAGGTGGTGAGGTAGTAGGTGGGTAGCCGGCTCATGAAGGGCAGGAAGGTGACAGAAGAGGTGCAGTCCACCAGGGCCAGGAAGAAGGTAAGGATGATGAAGGCAATGCTGTGCTGGCTGCCCATTACCCAAGAGGTCACATTCCAGAGGAAGGCGAAGAGAACGCAGGCGATGGTGCCCACGGCCAGGATAAAAAAGATCACAGGTACCTCGGAAAGGCAGCCAGGCCGGAAGCGATGCAGCAGGGTGACCAGGAGGGGGCCAATGTTGGCCAGCTGGATGACCACAGTGAGGTAGGAGGGCAGGTACCAGCCCTCGGGCAGCTCCGCCACCAGCAGGGGCAGCTCTACCCAGAGACCGTTGATGGCCACCCAGGAACCCATCCCAAAGACGCAGACCAGCAGGTGTAGCAGGAAGGCCATGGTGCATCCGTCCCAATCAGGCTGCACTGGGGCTGATAGAGAAGGGCACCAGGTGAGAAAGTTCAAAGTTCAAGTTCATCGTCAGCCAACAGGCTGTGCTTTTGAAACCAGAGGGTTTTTTCCCTTTCCCCATGAACAAGATGGCTTTTTACTAGCAGAAAATACAAATTCCTTCATGACCAACCTTTAAGTGGGGAGGGTTTTCCTAAGTGTGACTCAAAAATTCAGAGGCCACCAAAGAAACTCCACACCTTCAAGTGCATAATTGTTAAAACACACAAAACCCAAACAAACAAGCAAACACCTTCTGCAAAAATACCAACAGCCACCCAAGGTCAAAAGACAAATGAAAACCTGGGAAACAGTTGCAACATAAAACACAGACAAAAGGCTCATTTTTCTAATATAGAAAGAGTTTTTACAAATCAAGAACAAAAGGCCCAAGAAAGATGTGGGCCAAGGATAGGTTAGGAACAGTTTAAAAGAGCCTTGCACATACTCCTCCCTTCAGGATGAGAAAATGGCTCCTAGTCATTTTCACCATGGGAGTGTCTCAAAGTCAAAGGTTACCTGATTGGGATGAAATGACTTATATACAAGATCCTTAAGCATTGCAGGAACAAAATACGTAGAAAACCCAAGGGGCTGGTGACAAAGAATGGGATAACTCAGGGGCTCAGCTAACCATTGGAAGGAAGAACAGGGGACGGTCTCACTGGCTGACAGGATGGGTCTCCAGGCTGCACTGATAAATGTACAAAATCAAGAGAGAAAGAGAGATCACAGAGAGGGAAAAAATGTTCTCTGGGCTTAAAGCAACCTGGACACCCAGGAACTGCTGGGTGGTTGGAAGCACCTCATTGTGTATCTTTTTAAATACTTTTAATTTGTGGCTATGTGACTACAGCACTTAATACAAAAACATGTTTACCTGACATAAAATGACAATCTGCCCTTTTTTTCTCATGAAATTACAGAATTCCCCGGGTGGACAGGCCTTCAGAGACCACGTACTCCAGCCCTCCAGCACCAATCTGCCAGTGTCTGTGTTCCATCTGCCCGTGCCTGGCATCACCTCACCTGTGCTGCCCCCAGCTCTCTCCCACCCACCCTTAGTCTAAGTAGAAACATTAGAGAGACCAGGAGTGTGGCTCTGCAGGAAGCCGCCTTGGCGGAGTCCAGCTCTGCTTCTTGCTGGCTGGGTGACCTTGGGCAGGTGACTTGGCCTCTCTGTGCCTGATGTTCTTCACCCACCAGTGGAGGACAATGATCATATGGACCTCAGGGTTCGTGGTAAGCTGTATGCATGTTGGTGAGTTCACGCTTCTCACAACGCTGGCACACTTGAAGTGTGCGGGGTGGGGGGGTTATTGAGAAATGCTGAGTTTGGTAACATCGTTATTTATTTTTTAAATTCACATGAAAATTCATATGTGGCTATTACAATTAAAAGAGAAAACGTTCCCCAGTGAGATACCAGCTGAAGTTGCCTGGGGCATATACACAACTGTGGGGAGACATGTCGACTGGGCCAAATTCCTCACTTCATGGATGGGAGACAGGCCCGAGAGGGAGAGGACTGAGGCTGGAGGTGGGACTTGGAGGACCCAGGAGCCAGGTGCAGGCTTGACTTCCTCCTTCCTTTTACTTGTTTTTGGAGACTTGGTCTGGTTATGTAGCTGACCTTGAACTCAAAAGCCTCCTGCCTTGGCCTCCTGACTGCTGGGATTGCAGGCATGTACCACAATGCCCAGTGGAGTCCCTCCTTTTTTTCTAGCACTTGCAGGAGTCTTGGTGGCCATACCTCAGCCCAGCAGCTGCTTGTCCTGGTTCCCACACACAGAACTTCCAGGGAAGCTGGGAGCAGAGGCAGTCAGACCTGCTCCCCTCCCACCCCACCACCTCCCTTCGGGCCTTGAGCAATCTACAAGCCACTAAGCTCAGCCTGGTCCTGCCACTCACAGACTGGGCCTGGCTGTGGCCTGTGAAAGGACCAGAGGAGAAGGAGGCTCCCTGTGCTGTGCAGTCCCATCCTGCAAGATTCTGCCCCAGGAAACCTTCCCAGGTGTCCTCACCAAACATTTAGGGCTTTGCTTGAGTGAGGCACACAGATGCTGTGAGATGAGGCTCGTCCAGAGCCAGGGGCTGCTTTGCAGTCTGGCACCGTGAAGGCAGAAGGACTTTTCTCAGCCATTTAGCTCAAAGTTGCTAACTCACTGGCCAAAGCCAGTCAGCAGACCTGATTTTGGTTTGTTCAGTGTTTGAAGCAATTAGTTACTGTCATCCATAAGTCAGGAGATGACATTCAACATTCGGGGTTTCTGATTTCCAGGAATATTTTAGAAGACTTGCTGCACATGCCTGCCTGCCCACATGGCAACAACCCTTCTTGCCCTCTCTAACTTAGCGCCACCCCTGGCCTCTGCAGGAACTGCAACTCCTGTTCAAGTCTGTGACTGTCTGCTCTTCCTCTGTTTTGCTGCTTGAAAATCAGATGTGCTGACCAGAACTCCAGCATCTTTTTTGTACTATGAGATAAAAGGGGGTGGAGGCTAGATGTAGACAAGAATCCCTTGGGATTTTGTGGCAGAAAGCAGCCATGGAATCCCTGTTCTTCCTTTCTTAAACGATTTTGTTTGCTCGTTTAATGTTGTTGAAGCATTTAGACATCTTTCTCATTTGTCACTCTTATTCCATATGCAACAGAACCCTGACTAACTGTACAGAGATTTATGATCAATAACATATGTTAATCGACTTTGGTCACCTGTGCCCTGACCTAGAAACTCGGGTCCTCTCTCAACCAAGATTTGATCAAAAATAATAATCTAATAAAAAGCATTTAGACATGCCTTTAAAAGCCACTAAAGAGTTATGACAAACTTGGAGTCCAAGGTCTTCCAGAAGCCGCAAGAAAAGGAGGAGGAGGAAGGGTGGGGGAGGGAGGGGTCAGATCGCTCTTCACTTAGGATTTGGTGGTAGACGGTAAGTGGAGACCCACAGTCATTTTGTACTGATGAGGACTGTAACTTACACAGGTGTCAAAACTATGGCTTATCGCTTCCCTCCTAAACAATCACAGCCTTACCAGGAGGGGGACAGAGGCACAGTGGGTGGCAGTGAGGTCATTGCAGAGGGGGCAAAAGCAGACAGGGCGCAGAGGCAACAATGAATGATAGACCCAATCAAGGGAAAGAAGTAAATAATTAAATGGAGTTGGTGGTGGCGGACGGAAGCCGGCTGCCTCTTTGCCTCACTGCCTCCCTGCCCGACCTCCTTCAAGCTGTTACACTAATGAGAGGAGAGCTCAGCGAGGCATCCAGTTACACACTGATAATGGGAGGAGGCCTTCCTGCTGACCAGGAGGGGACATCAGCTGCCCGGAGAAGGATCAGGACTCCAGTGCATGCAGTGGGTCCAGCATCCAGCTCCCCATAGCCAGCTGTCTGGGTTCTGACCTGGCTGCTACTGGGCTGTGCCATTTGAGGGAGGTGACAGGACTCTGGGAGTCTCTGTTCTATATCTGGAAAACAGCATGGTGTGGCCCAGCACAACCGTCCTCTACCCCGGGCCACAACTAAAGTTCTCCCTGTTCCTCAAAAGAGCCATGTGGCCCTGGGCTGGAGACACAGTGAGGAGCTGCTGTCCCTGGGGGATGTCCCAGGTGGAGGGGACAGTGTGTGCAAAGGTTCTGCTGTTTCCATGAGCTAAGCTGAGGCTCAGATTGGTTGTCACTGGGAGTGTGTTGTGTTTTCTCTCTTGTCTGCAGTAGCCTCGGAGTTCTTGCTCACTCACGTAACCCATTTTTATTGGGTGCGTACTATGTGCTAAACAACAATCCTGCTTTCAGGGACACAAGGAGACCAGACACCAAGAAAAACAGAAAATATAAACAGCAGGTCATCTGGGGACAAGGGCTCAGAGGGAAGCACAGCTGAGAAGGTGGAAGTGTGGGTGTGTAGCTGGTCCGGGGAAAGAGGGTCCAGGGAGGAGACAGCAAGTGCAAAGGCCCTGCTGTGGGCCATGTCCCAGAGATAGATCTTGGTGTTCAAAGAACAGCTAGGAGGCCAGTGTGACTGTGGCCTCAGGAGTGAGGGTGACAAGGCAGCAGAAGGGAGTCACCAAGGTGGCAGGGGAGTGCTTGTGTTCTCTCTGTGGCCCAAACCTAGGCGGAGAGACCAGCTCTGACTTAATGTTTAACATGCTGACAATGGCAGGGGAGGAATGAGGAGCCAAGGATGAAGCAGGAGCAAAGCCTGTTAGCCTGCTGGGAAGTTAATAATAAGTATTATCAAACGTGAAATAAATAGCATTAAAGATAGACAAAACAATGACATCAAGAGTGGTTGCTTGTCAGGCCCATCCTGGGCTCTGCTCTTCAAGGCATATCGTCACATCCTCTCAAAACCCCGAGTTAGGCACTGTGATCATCTCCTTTTCACACTCAAGGAAACAGGCTCAGAAAGGGAAAGTCACCCACCGGAGGTCACACAGCCGGTCAGCTGGGCGCTGGCATTTGAGTCCAACAGGGTGGGGGCTGTGCAGCAGCTGCTGAAGCAGCCCAGAGATGCGAGAGGGAGGCCAGAGAGGAAGAGGCCAGGGTTATGCTGGACGGGAACTCCCTCTGCCCACAGTGGCCTCCCTAGCACTTTGGGCTGGGAAGGGGAGAAACTGGGGTCTGGGCCCAGGGGGACCCTGAGAAAGAGCGTTGAGTCAGAGCTGCTTCCGGAGAGCCCACTGTGGGTGCAGGACGCCAGAAAACTAAGGCTTTGCTGGTGGAGTGGCTCAAGCGGTAGAGCTCCTGCCTAGCAAGCATGAGGCCCTGAGTTCAAAGCCCAGTACTGCCAAAACAAGAAACCTAAGGCTTTGAACAAGGCATAGGGATGGCCAGGAACAGGTGGGCCAACAGAGAAGCCAGAACCTGGCCAAGACACCTCTTTTGGATTCTTTTTGTTTATTCTTTTGCAGTCGTGGAAGAAACCCAGGACGTCACACAGGCG